CATCAATTACCAGAAAAGACACCAACTAACTAAATAACTAACTGAACATTCAGTACTAAATCCTGTAGAAAATTAGGACACCATGTGTGGATCAGAGCCAGGTGAAGAAATGCAATGAATATGTTAGTTGATGAGTTTTATGACTTCCTCTTCATACGGCCTAATGAGAGAGTCTGAATGTGCTTAAAGGAAGGAACATGTGTGCACATGTTGATCAAACAGTCTCCCTGCTGTGTAATTGCATGACCTCGTAATCATCAACAGTCTCCTCATATCTACAAGCAGGTGTGTGTGTGTGTGTTACGGACCATTGTTTGTTTTTTATTGACATTTTTTGGCAAATCAAAACAGAGTTACATCTGCTACGATAAATGAAGTACTCTCATATACATGAACTTACACACACACACACACACACACACACACACACACACACACACACACACACATTGTATGTCTTTCTATCTTCACAAAGACTTTGAATTGAGTTCCGTTCATTTTCCATTCATCTCTACAGCCTGTCTCTGATCCCTTTACCACAACAGATGCCGTGCTCACTTTGGGGTCCGAGTTGAATTAGCAGAAAGCAGTTAGCACAGGAGTTCAGAACGGGGAGCAGTCTAGGTATGGGGGGTAAAATCCCCCCGTGTCTGGGGGTTTGTACATGCGACATGAGCACAAAGGGGACAAATACAAATACTGGGCTCTTTGTGTTTGGAGTTAGTGACAGTCATGGTTGAAACCCTACCGTTGATTCAACATGTAAGTGATCAACCACTTTCAATATCACTTTCAATGTGGATTCAATATTTAGGCCTAACTATGTTTCATCGTCTCATGTTTCACTCATATTTTGCCATCTACACGGTGATAATGGCTGCAACACCCTGAGATCCGGAGGTCCACCGATGGACATTTAAATCAATTTAACTTAACTCTAAATACATTCTAAAACTTTCAGTGGCAGATAAGCTGCTTTTTGGTGACTGCAATAAAAATGAATTCAAGCTAAAATGTCCTGTAGCCTGTAGGTTTTCTGCTTTTGTGCAGTTGTCATGATTGAATTTTGACAGTCGCTCTTCCTTTTACTTGGGCATGACCAATTGGACAGGAGGATTACGGACAAACAGACTAACTCTAACCCTATCTCTTACACGTTATTTTTTCTAACCCTAACCAAGGCCTCTTCTTATTGTTTAAGACTTTTCTGAAAAGTCTCAAGCATATGATGCATGTTCTCGTTTTTTTTTTTTTTGAAGGAATCTTGTAAGATGATCGATGCCCGTCCACCACCTGATGTAGAGTTTAGGCCAGAAGCACTGCAGAAGAGTTTCAAATGAAATATGAAACACGGGCAAGACGCTGCTATGACATGAAGCCATCAGAGGTTGGATTAGAAATGGATGAGAAAACACTTAGTTTTCAGCGAGGAGCAGAAAAGCCGCTGATCAGATGCATTACCGCTCTATCAGTGAAAAATTATCCTCTGTCACCGATAGAGGATAATTTTAATAATGTCAGAGCAGCTGACCAATATTATAAGAACATCCAGATCATCTGAAACGAAAGAGGAATGAGGGGCGCATTGTAACATTTCCCATTAAACGTGGCGCTCTGTTTGACTAAGCTAATTGTTCTCCCTCTCCAACTATAATATATATATTTTTTTCATGAACATCAAAAATAATCCTGCATCAGTTCATCTGCTTCTTTGTTCTTTGTTGTTGTCTGTATGTAAGATGCAAACTGCTGGGTTTCCTTACATACAAACTTTTTAAACTACTTTCAGTAATTAACTGAGCTTAAAATGCTGTTTAATACTTTGGATTAAAAGGAACACAAATATTGCCAGGTCACTATAACAGTGCAAGGAATAATAAAGGTGCAAGTGGGCAAGGACTAAGAGTTTGGCTGATGAGACAATGCTTTGATCTGATTCCTCTTACTTCTCTCATCTTGGTAAATGTGCCATCCCTCAGGTCATGGTCACACCAAAACATTGACTTTGTTGTCCTTAAATCGCTTTGCAACCACTTTGGCTGTAAGCTTACGGTTAAACCCTATTTGGAAGAGCAATCTGTGCCCAAGCTTCACCTTCCTGGCTTATGTCTTTAGGTGTTGCTTCAATATTTCCACATCACGTTCCTTCTTCATGATGTCGTGTGTTTTATGTTTCCTCCTGCAGCAAAACAGCCCGACAACATGATACAGCCACTCCATTCCAAGTGCCTCCGTTTTTCTACCAAAAAAAGGGAGACGGAAAAAGGACATGACTCCAGAGTTCAAGATCTTTGTCCCTGTTTGTATTTTTAAACTGCAGTCTGACTTTTTTTTTTTTTTTTACTTTTCTTTTGGAGAAATAACTTCCTCATCTCTGAGCGACTCTTTCATTGGGATTGTCTTTCCAAAGTCTTCACCAGAAAAAACAAAGTCTTTGGCTTTTGTCAGTCCGCACATTTCAGATAAAAAGATATTCATATGTATAAGTTTCCAAAGCCACAAGACCATCATCTGGACTTTCCCTTAGTAATCTTTCTGCATGTAAGCTTTTGATTATGAAGATATTAATAGATACATCTCTGACATTCTTTCTCTCGTTATTGTGGAGTCTAGTACATCGGGAAGAAAGGTCGATTCTAACTGACCTAACCCAAGATGAGCTTGCTCAAAAAAAGGTAAATGTGTCATTTGAAATGGTGTAGCTTGTATACTTCAGGGGAGATGTACATGGAGACAGGTTTTATCATATTTCAGCAGAATTCTTGCCATTTTAATAGGGTGTATTTATTAGACTGTACAGCGTACTGTACTTTCAGACAAGTTATACAAATGTAATATTGCTGCTACTAATAATCATAATCCCCACTAGGTACTAGAAGAACAACAGAAAACTCTTTTGAATTGTGCTTTGCTTCTCTGTAAATTTTTTTAAACTCTGGACTTAAAATGGAGACACAATTAATTTAGCTGCATCTTTTTTTTTTTTTTTTTGATATTGCTGACTTAAAACTCAAAGATGTAAAGAGTTATAGTGCCACCTGGTGGAAAACCATTCAAGCAGTTTTAAAGCACCATTTCGACAATGAAATCCAGCAGACATGTGTAAATACATACAAACAGGCAGGTTGTTTATTCATAAAGAGTAACAAACCAGCAGGTTGTTTACAGCAGGAAGCCTGTACAGAATACGCTGCATCACACCGCGGCATAAAGCATCTGCATGGTTCTCCACGAAGCTCAGTATGAACACAGCATTTAACAGAGCTCAGCCAGCACAGTCCCGCATGGCGCAACAAGTCATGAAAGATGCATTGTGGGATAGTGGAGTCGTCACTCGTTTGGTTTTCTAGAGAAGTTCAGCTGAGGTTTAGTCAACAGGTCCAATTAAGAAATGACTGAAAGTAAAAGTCCGGAGCAGGGATTCAGATTTGTCTTGTGATTTTACACAAAGAAGAAACATGGAAACAAGTTGACCTACCGAACGTTGATTATTGAAAATGACTAAAATACTCTTGGCTGGGTTTAACCTTTTATCTCATCAAGTCACCGAGTGCCTGTATACGACAGAGGAATGGCCCAGGCTCTTCTAGAGCAGACGAGTGTGTTGTGTGTTGCAGGACATTACCAGAACTACAGCTCCAACACTTTCAGTCATTTCAGGAAAAACAGACCCCATTTATTTCTTCCTATTTCTCCATCTGGTCCTATTTTAGTGACCCTCAAGTGATCAAAGATACAAGCTGATAAGACGACATTCTACTATTTTATTGGGTGGTAAATGCACTTTGATGCAGTGGAGTAAAAGCATTGCTCTGCCTGAAGTTCCTATTACAGTTTTTTTTTTTTTTGTTCCTTTGTGATGTCTTTTTGGTACTGTTTAGAAGATGAATATGACATTTTATGTTTTTACTGCACGTGGTTCATCGTAGTTTGTTGGATTTCAGAATTAAAAAATGGTACTAATGGATTGCAGCAAAGTGCTTGGCAGTCATTCAATTGTGAGTTAAATACATGTTTTTCTTTCTTTCTTTCTTTCTTTCTTTCTTTCCTTTTTTCTTTTTCTTTTTTTTTTTTACAAACATTCAGTTTTACGCCTAGAATATTCTCATTACCTTAACATAGGCATAAGATAATACAGATGCCTTATACCTATATTAATGTAATGGCTATAACCTGCATTACTCTGCGCTACCAACCAATAGCTATAATAACTAATCACAAATACTCTATGAATAGTTCATTTAAAAATTGGTCAGTGTGTCCCTCTATTTTATGTAAAGATAGAAAAAAATAAAACAAGATGTATTGGCTGTCTAATGTGATGTGCCCATTGTTGTATCCCAACGCTGCTTCTGATTGGTTAATCTGCACCTCATAGTGGCTCCTTCCCCAGAAACTGTCAGCTGACATCTGACACAAAAGAAACCAAATTGCCAGAAAGTTCTGTTTTCTCCAACTCAACAAGAAAATGGATCACCTTGTCAGACTATATTTCCATCACTTGCTTCTCTAAATTTGTTCATATTTAGTCTGAGACCTCTGCAGAAAATGTTTTTAATTTCCTCCTGTGCCTTAGACTTCACCTGGTTTCGAATCCACAATACGGAACCGTAAACATGTCCAAAAGTGCTGTGCCAGAAACCAGATTGTGTCCAAACTGGTTTTACCTCCAGAGAGATAAAAACCTCTCTCCTGGTTTCTCCCTCTGACCATCAAAGTCAGACGGGTCACATAATATTTTGAGTGGTCAATTTCATAAAACTTTACTTTTTATCTTTATTTACTATTTCTAGAGTAGAACTAGCACTGCATCTTTGTTTTATGTTTGTAGGAATTCTGAATTTTTTATTTATTTTTGGGCCACTGATTTTTTTTTTTCCCCTCTGAATTCTGAGATTTTTTTTTTCTGAGCTACTGAAAAAAAATTCTGATATATATATATATATATATATATATATATATATATATATATATATATATATCCTCCTAATCCTCTTCCGTATGTTTGGCTGTCAACATTTTCAATCAGTTTTAATCTGAGTACAGCAGAATCTCCTTGCTTTTAGTGTGTTGGAATTTGTTTAGTTGGAAAAACAGAACTCATCCTTCTTATGGATATTTCACACATTATGATGTTGATTTATTTATTTAAATTAATCGTTGGATGTATTATATCAACACTGCTCTGGTGAAGCCCACACACTTTATGCGGGGCGTGACAAAAGGTGTCTTCTCTTTTCACGAAGACTTTTCTCGCTGACTGGATCCCTGGACTACGGCGCTCTTTAAACCAGAGATCCCAACCCTGGTCTTCGGGTTTAGCCGTTTCCCTGCTGCTGCACACCTGGCTCAAATGACGTGACTGATTAACAGGCTTCAGCAGCAGCTGACGGCATGCTGAAGAGGTAATGTAATTATTTAAATCAGCTGTGCTGGAGTGGAGAAACATCTTAGACACGCAGGACAGCGGGTGGTTAAAATCACCCATAGGCGTGAGCTTCCTTTGTTGCAGCTTTCAATATCATTGGGTTGTTTTGGGCAGTGACTGAAAAGAAATGGAGATTATTATATTATATCAGCGGTAGATGCTCTACTGAGTGAGTAACAGTGCTAAACAGATTTGGCTGAAATCTGCCAGTGTTTTCAGAAACCTGAGCAGGTTTTATTACAGCTGCACTAATAAACACAGACGGTTACCAACACAACCTTCTTGATGGTCGCTATATTACAGCTGCTTCTTAAGCCTGGCACACTGAACGCTTCCTAAGGCTGCTGATGTAGGGACAGTGGTCTATGACGGCGCAATACTTACAGAACACATTCTCTAATTTATACATTCATCGTTAAATTGGAGCGGAAAAGTAAACATCTGTCTTCGAGATCGGCCAAGCAGTGACATCATCACAAGTCCAGGCAGGATGTTTGCCACAGTGGCTGGGTCAGGCTGGAAATGTACAATGGAGCTCACTTCTCTACACGTTCACTGGATCACCGAGACACTAACTTCCTGAAACAGACACGTTTACAATCTGATTTTAAAGACATCCCAGGTGGTTTTACATGCAGATGATCCCTGATAGTTTTGCTGTTCTGTAAACTACACACATGTCTCCTTAAACAGTAATACGGACAGAGGTGCCATGTTTCCTTTAGTTTTGCTGATTATCAGTGCGAATTCCAGCAGTTCAGAGCCAGACGTCTGCAGCTGAGCATCGGCTGTTTGGGAGAACAAGTGGTCTCTGTTATCTTTACACAGTGTCAAACAGAACAAGAACATTCAAAACTACACTTGAAGGTACAGTTTTACACTGGTGCAAAAGGATCAACTGTGAATCTAACAGTAGTAGTTGTGTGGTTTTCACCATATTGGGGATCACAGCAGGTTCTATTAATACAGATCCGGCGTTTCTGCTGGTCCTGCTTTCGTTCAAGTTGAATAATTATTACAAAATAAACGTGTGCGTTACATTGGTCGGTCTGTTCAAATCAATTCAGAAGTCTTTAATACAGAAAAGGGACATTTACAAAGAGTCCAGGTGATGATTATGTTCCATCCGACAGGAAAATAACTCTGGTTCAATCTTCTTCTAATCATTCAAACACAAAGAATTATAGAGCCTGTATAAGGGCCCGAAGAAATCTGGGGTGCAGTAAGTTTGGAGGTTGGATCTCAGTTAACATTTACATCCATTCTGTCAAGTAATAATAATAACAATAATAATTAAAAAACAGCGAGCTTAAACCAATTCAACACAAGCACATCTAAAGAATTCGAAAACATTTCCAAAAGTAATGTTTGACAATGAGCTCTGCTTTCCATCCCAGCAGGGTGGATGAAGAGCTCTGCCTCCTGCGTGTTCTCGATCAGCAGTGTGCTCTGATGAACACGTATTACACACCAACCACAGAGCTGCTAAGGCTCGGCATTGTTCAACGTTTAGATAAACCGTGTTGCAACATGTAGGGAAACCACAGACTCCAAAAGACCTCTCCTTTTCACTGCCATGTTGAATTTGGATTTAGAATGTATTGTTAGTATTGATCTTTGTGGACCCCAAGACTCTTTTAACAGCCAATGTTTGGAAGTTATGCCAGAAAGACGTTTGTCCATCGTAATCATGTTGAAACTCGTTGTGGACTTTAAATGGAATCCTGTCTTTTAGTCCAAGGATTCTAAGATGGAGCTTTTTGACAAAACCACTAGAAAAAGGTTTGCAATAAAGCAAAGAATGACTATGTAGAAGCACATCATGCCCATCAAGCATAGTGGAGGATCTGTGATGCTGCGGGCCTGTTGTCCTCCAAAGGCCCTGAAATCCTTGTTCAAGTGCATGGTGACATTACCTCTTTGAAATGTGATAACGATTTGCGAATGCCTGCAAAGTACGGAAATATAAAAGGGTCATCATTGGAACTTTCAGCAAGATAATGCAACCCCCCCCCCCAAAAAAAAAAAAAAAAAAAACATGTATTTATTATTGCTAAACTTCACCCAATTGGATTAATATAATGATATAAAATAATTGTTCATTGTGAGATTATGCCACTACATTTTTCAGTAGTTTTTGTTCACGTCTTTGCCAGAGAAACGGATGAAAGTGCAGGATGCTTGTCGGCTTTGTCAAAGTTTTCTGTAAGATGTGAACAATTTACATGAAAAATAACTTTAGCTTCTCTTCCATAAATGCAGCCTGTAAATCTTGGTGTAAATACGAACATTGTGGCTAAGAAGCGATGGCTCCTGTTTAGTGATTCCGGAGTGGTTTCATCTCTTTCTACATGGCTGAGATGATTTCTTTGGGTTATAGTGGATGTATTTTAAAGCAAACAAACAAAAATAATAAATAAATTAACAAGTTGTGGAATAAATAACTGTTCTGAGCCACAAATAGTTTTACAAACAGTGACCCAGCCAGATTCAAGAAGATTGTAAGTTGGACCAAATGGGAACGTTGTTTTTTTTTTTTTTACTCATAAGTCCATAAGACAGTAAAGTAGTAAAGACATTTCAGTGTTGGTGTTCACAGATGGACAAACTGTTCATGGTTCTCTCCATCACAGTGTGTTGCCCATAGTGCTGCTCACCAAACCTTTGATGTTGGTGATGGGACGGACATCGTGTAACTGTCTTCTCCGATCGATGAATGTGGCCAACCTCGACCTGTCCAGGGGCGTCTTGGAGTACTCACCTCCCTGAGCGCCCCCCCGGCCCACCCACGGGTGTTGTAAACATGAAGTGGCACTAGGCCTCTTCCTGGGATCCTCCTGCAGCACCGAAGACACAAAATCCCTGGCCGCCTGACTTACATGACGGAAGTATTCATCCGGGAAGCAGAAGTCCAGGCGGCAAATGTTTACACACGTTTCCTCCGGCGACTCATCCAGAAATGGGGATACGCCACTGAGCATCACGTAGGCCAGCACGCCCATGCTCCACACGTCTGTCGAAACAGAGACCGGCGTACCTCGAATGAGCTCGGGGGCTGCAAACTCTGGGTTTCCAAGACAGAGGTGGACATATCGGCGGCTAGCAGAGAGCTGGACAGCGTCACCAAGGTCGATGAGCTTGACAGATGGAGCCGGAGCTCTAAGATCCACCATGATGTTCTCAGGCTGCAACAGGGAGAGATAACAATTAAAGCTTTTTTTTTTCTTCTTGTTTACCCTAGACTATAAGTTACTACCTTGAGATCCAGATGTGCCACTCTGCAGGTGTGAAGGTGCTGGAGAGCCTCCAAAGTTTCTCTGATAAAATATGCTACTTTCTCTTCCATCAGCTCATCGTGGGCAACGAGATACTCAAGCAAACGTCCATCTTCTAGCCTTATACATGCAATATCAGACAAAAAAAATTTGCCATTTTAGCTAAGATGCCCAAACATGAACATAAAACCACAAAATATTTCTGCTAAACAATGAGTGTTCAGCAGAATACTAAAGATGTGACTTTTAAAACAACTTTAGTCTTGTTTGGACAGAGCCACAAAACTCACAGCTCCAGGATGAGCATCAGAGAGGTAGGAGACTCATAAGTGTCCAGCAGCGCCACCAGCTGGTGATTCTGGACATGTCGGAGAATGTCTGCTTCATGAGCTACCTGCTCTTTCTTCTGCATCTTCTTATTCACAAACTTAATAGCAACCTGGACAGAAAGAAGAAGAAGAAGAAGAAAAAGACGTTTCTCAGTGAAAAGACGCTCACAGTGAAAGTCCAGGCAAAAACTCACACAAGTCATTTGTTAAATGTCCAACTATTACATAGTCATGTCATTTTTTTTTCAACTTTCTTTTACAGCACCTTGTAGCAAATTTTAGATGATGCGGGAAGAGAGGAAAGGCAATGATGGAGACAATGAGAGGAAGCAAAAGTAAAACAAATAGTAAATTCACAAAGTTCAAAGTATTTGTGATCAAATCTAAAATTATGACAAATAATATGAAATGCTACATATAATAAAGCTATTAAGACTTTTTGCAAAAGATGCAACACCAATGCCAGTAATGCACACAAGACATACTCATCTGTGTAACAACAAACACATTCAAACATCATGTCAGGTGGGAATTGGTCCTTTTTTTTTCTTGTTCTCCTGTAAACATGACAGCCTCCAGTTTTTCCCCAGCTGTTGTTACAAGTCTGATCTTTTCCACACAGAGTCACAGTTGTTAAAGATAAGATTATATGAATGAGGTAAATATTTCTTATCACAAAAATATAAAACATCAGATCATTGTTATTCTTTTGAGCAAAAAACAACTGTGCCTCTAGGCAGAACGAAATAACATTAATCCTCACATGTTGCGTCCTACCTCTTTCTTTGTTGATTTGTTCAAACATTTTCTCACGACTGAAAAGCGCCCCCTTGTGGAAAAAGCAGAGATCTGCCATTAAAACTCTGAGAATGGTTCACAGTGAATGTTATCTGGCGATTCGACAAGAGGCACGATGCTTTACCTTCCAATCTCGCTGATCTCAGTGAAGACTGACTCAAAACTGTCTTTCCAATGAATCCCTGTTCCATCGCACCCAGAGGCTGAGCAGGAGAGAGAGAGGCAGACACACAAGAGGAACAGAAACATATTTTATTCTAGACATTTTCATGTTATGTTGTGTGGAAAACTTGGAAATCCTATTGAACCCATCTGGGTGGACGGGTTAAAGGATTGCCTTTTTGTTTCGAGATTTTATTGCAAAAATTAATAAATAAATAAATAAATAAATAAATAAATAAATAAATAAATAAATTTATTTATTTGTTTGTTTTTATTCAGTATTTTTTCAGCAGGTTGTCTGAAACCCAATATAAAATCCTAAAGGGTCTATTATGTTTCTCATGTTTTTGGCTGCTTTTCTAGTTGTGTTTCCATGTGCAAAAGTTTCTTGGTATTCTGTTAATATATAAAAAAAAAACAACACAATTTTGCTTTCATGGAATAAGAAAGGCGATTAAAGCCACATGTGAATAAACTTGTTCACGCAATTAGTAATTAAGAAACATTATCCTCCTGCCACTTCCTGATGTTTTCTCTGTGGTTTTGCCTGTGGTAACATCTGGCTGCTGATCACATGAGTAGTGTGACGCAACAAAAAAAAAGTGTTTCCATAATTTTCATACGGCTGAAAATCCACCTCCGAGGACAAAATCATTAGGAAAAAATGTTGTTGTTGTTTTTTTAATTGTCGTCCCTCTATTAAGCAAATTTGTTTTCATAACTCCAATTTGAGCAGATATATGCTCAATGGAAACGGCTACAGCTAGATCGAGTTAAAATCTGCACAGTTGTTAGACTGCAGATTTGAACACTTTCTAAGACTTAACATGATTAAAGTTCATTGGGAACTTTCACATCACTTTATCTTGAATGAATCTATGGTGCATTCCAATGAATGAATGAATAAGTCAGTCAATCAATGAATCAAGTTTTTTTTGCATAGCACAGTTCAGCAGCAGTACAGTTCAAAATCAGTAAAAAAACAAAAAACAAAAAAAAACATGGAGTGTGTGAGTGTGTGCTCCTTACTGCAGCTGCCCAGTGTGACCATATTTGAGGGTTGTGATGGAGGGCCAACCCCCCAGCGGTTGGAGGCTCGAACTCTGAATTGATAGTGGCCTCCAGGAATAAGATTATCGATCTGGACACACTCCTCCCTGCAGCTGGCCGCCTGCTGCCACAGGAACGAGTCTGTGGGGGGGAAGAAGGGGAGAGAAGAGGAAGAAGTACTTAGTCTTCTTGGAACGTCAAAGAGCTTCTTTTGATTCAACAGTTTCCACAGACCTTCCTGCCGGTACTCTACTTCGTAACTGGTGATGGCGCAGTGAGCAGATGAAGCTGGAGGAGGCCAGTGGACCAGCACCGTGGTGCTGCACGCCTCCTGAGCCAGAGGCCTCCCCGGGGCTGCTGGGATACCTTCAGTTTAAAACGATGAAACAGAAAAGCATTGGAGCTGCAGCAGAAGCATGGGAGGGAGGAGGGGGGGGCTACCAGTGGTGAAAAACAAGAGAGGCACCTTGAACTTTAATGGACGCAGAGGAAGAAGCAGAGCCATGATCATTAACAGCAACACAGGTGTAGATCCCCGTATCCTGAGGCATTAAGTTGCAGATCTTCATCAGGATGTCACCAGTGTCCCTTGAAAGGAAAGAAACAAAAAAAAATGACTGAAGAGGTAGCAAAACCAAACAAACAAACAAAAACACTGAGGAATGAAGCTGAAAAAGGAAAAAGAAAGGCTTTTTGTTTTCACCTGTGGTCTGTTTTACCTGATATCAATGGTGAAGCGGTTGTTACTGGTGACCAGGTTCTGGTCGGGGCCCTTCACGGTTACCGTGGGTTTGGGTCGTCCACAGACTTTACAGCAGAGGACGACTGTCTCCCCAAATGCACACACCACATCTGACAGCGGTACCAGGAACTCCGGGGCCACTGCAGACAGCAAACACATCGCGGCCGTTTCCTCCTCAGAGCACCCAAAGGCCACTCTGAGGCACAGATCCCAGGTTTAGCTTCTACGGAATCAGAGCCGTTGTCAACTATTCACGGTCGCGTCTTTCTAAATGCACAATGAATGATTGTATTCATGTTCCTCAGCTTCAGGTCTTTCAGTTCCTGAGTCTGTTTGCATCTACACCAGTGGTGCTATTTTGTGTTCATATTTTTCTTTTTTTTTATTGTAACTTTGTGCTAAATTTTGTTTGTTTCTCTTGAATGTGTAATATTTACAGAAATTGTTTGATTGCAGTTGCATTAAAAAAAAATCAAGTTACAGGGACAATCATTTTTACCCAGGTCTGTTTTACTAGTTTATATATTTATTTTATTTTATTTTTTTACCTTCTACCTTTACAAACCTTCCAGGATTCTGCTGAGAAACATCCCCACAGCATTATTCGGCCTCCACCATGCTTCACATGGGTGAAGCTGGTTGGGGTTGTTTGCCCAGGGCGCCAGACAGGCAGAGAGCGCCTCTGGTGAGACTACCAGCACCATGCAGCTGGACCTTTGTTGAATTAGGTCAGCCTCTTTAAAGGGGTGAATATTTATCCAGTTACTTATTTCAAGTTAAATATTTTTACTTAATTGGCTTTTTTTTAGTTGTTGTAGAAATCAGTTTCCTTTGATATTAAAGAGTTTTTGTAAATTGTTTGGCAAAAAAGAAGTTTTTTTATATCATGATTGCTTTGTGAAAACAATAAAGGGTTAAAACGTCCAATGGGGTGAATACTTTTTACAGCCACTGTATCTGTTGTGGTTGTTTCTTTTATATGTGATCATTTATAACAGCTGTTTAGACTTTGACCATTAATGAGCTCTATGAAAGACCTACCAAATTCAACTTTTAACTCTTGGGTGGTGTTTATATGATTCCAATTGGAGGTTTTCTTTAACACTTTTAACCTACCTAACTCTAGGTATTTTTTTATAGTTATAAAAAAGAAATAAAGTGTGTGAGGGTAGAGGGTATGGCTTATGGTGTGACAATAAAAGGTAAAGATGACAGCTTCCCTTAAGACACCGCCGGATCGTGTGAATTCGTTTGTGTCTCACCTTCCTGGATGAAGTTTGGGTTAAGAAGCTGGAAAGCAACAACAAAAAAGATACCCGTTAGGTTGCAAACATTAAGCAAGTTTATTTGTGCAGCCCATCTCGGCAACAAGGCAACTCAAAGTATTTTACACAATGGAAACATAAAACAACAAACACACAGTAAATTGTAAGCGACAAAGACTAAAGGAAAGTGATGAGAAGTTGGAATCCGGGTTACGGCTAATGGATGAGTTGGGTTGTCGATTAGTTCTTGTAGTAATTTTGGAAACCTGGCCATTCTTGGGAAGTTTCACCACAGTTGGTGCTCTGACTCCAGTTAGCCTTACAAATGGTTCTGTAACCCGTTGCAGACCGATGGATGTTAATGACCAATGTAACCTATGAGTTGATTCTACAGGCCTGGCAGTGATCAGCCCTGGGTGTGGCTAATGACATTCTTCCCAGACAATGTCGTTAATCACAGCTAATTCATGATTTAACAAGGAACAGAAAGATAATCTGATTTTTTTTCTCCTAGGATCAGACTGGCTTAGATAACTTTTTTGCTCTTAATAGATAAAATCGAAATTTGAAAATTTCTTTTGTATTTCCTCGTTTTATTTATATATATATATATATATATATATATATGAAAATAACCCGAGGATCATCAGTTGGATGATCTGAAACATTGAAACATGACAGAAACAGAAGCAATCTCCAAGGTTGGGGGAAGGGATTTTAATAGCACTGCATCTAACTTTATGCTAGTTAGGCAGCGAATACCTCCATGCCCGTCTTTGGGTCAAGGTCTTCCTCACTTTCTGACTCGTCAGAGGTGTGCAGGTCCTGGTGGACAGCAGAGGAACAGGACAAGAACAACAGGGGAAAAGGAGGGAGAGGTTTGTGTGAGTAGGAGAGAAAAGGCCGAGCGAATTAAGGCTGGCACTGGAGAAGACAAAGAGGCTGATAAATTCTAGCGGCTTGGTGGGCTGAAACAAAAATATGCAGAAGATTAAAAAAGAAAATCAACAAATATTAAGATGCAAAAAATGATTACATTTAAAAGCCATGAAGGGCATTCACTTGTAATGTTTCTTTATAGATTTCAAATCATTTCCAATTATGCTGTCATTTATTCTTATATCTAAAATATACTTTATTTTTGACAGAAGCACGGCTGCCACTTTGCACCATCACCAGCAGGCGACACAGGCAAAGTGTCCTGCCCAAAGACACAGTGGCAGAGGCAGGTGAAGCAGGAACTTAGGTTTAATCCCATAGTCCAAAAACGTGGGATTGACCCCCATTTTTTATTTATTTATTTTTTAATTGGCTTGTTTCCATTAAGCAAATGCACAATAAAGGTGATGTGCCGCTTTGCATCAGGCAGCACCGGCCTACTGGCTCCTGCTGCTATCAGGTTTAAGATCAGTTTCATAAAACGTCTGGATGGAAGGAGTTAATAGCACATACACACCACATCAGCCACTGGAGCCGCTGGCCAGCTGTACTCACTTTAGCCTTGTGGCTGGGGCTCGGCAGGGCTAGCGGGAGGGGGGAGACTGCGCCATCTTTGGGTTTGCGGAGGAGGCTGTTCTCCTGACTCCTGAACCCCAGAAAGGAGCTGTCCCTGGATTCAGCACGTTTCCTAGCGCGTAGCGTGTTCCATGACAAAGACTTCCTGTGCAGTGCATGAAGGACAAACATCAAGCAGCCAGTCACGCAGTAACTTAGCAGTGTCCAGCTCAGCCATTCTGTGGATGCAACAGGAGCTGTCGGGTCAGAATAATGGAGATGAACAGGATAAATCCAGAGGCATTGAAAGCTATCTGTCGCTCTGGGTTCATTTCCCTGTGTGGAGATGAATAATTGTCTTTAGAATTAGTTGTTTTAGGGTTTCCCTAAATTTACAGAAGAGGATTCCACGACAAAAGAAACAAACATTTCAATCAAATTCAACACAATCTTTTGGATTTTTTTTCCAGATTCCGCCCCCCCCCCCCCTCCCAAAAAAAAAAAAAATCTACTCTGTTCCGCCTAAAAGACAGAACAGGAATTTAGTGTGTTCTTTATTTGTATGAAGGTCCTGTCAGTGTTATTCTCTATGTGAAGCTGTAGCCATGGACATGGAAACTGAGGGAGTCATTAGAGCAACACCACTTTCCTTCAGTAAACGGCTTCAGTGCCCTGTGGGAAGTCGGCCATATTAACTAGACATGAGGACATGGTTGATTTTGCTTCTTAAAAGAATCGTCATGTCACTTACCTCTTGCAGTTTTTAAGCAACCATTTTAAAATCATTCATTTGTTGTTTCATATCAACTTAAAGCAAATTAAGCTTCTGTTGTTGATGGAAAACCATCAAGGCCCTCAAGCGCATCCATGTTTGTCAATTTAAAAAAAAAAGAAGGTGAATTCAATTTTTATTATAGCATCCATTGAAATTCTTTTTTTTTTTTAATCAGAATCATTTCCATTATTTAATTATTTATAAATTAACCACCTTCTTGTTGAATGTTGGCATATACAGGAATATCCAGTTTTCTTCCTATCAGAATTCCATCTGGGCGGTTGCTAGGCAGACCCTCTGGGATTTTATAGTGAGCCTTTCAATGCAAATTCTTCAGCAGACTACAGTAAAACCAGCCAATCAGAGCATTTCTCAAAGTGGGTGGGCTTTGTGATGCTATAGTTTATGAAGGGTTCGCCCAGCTGAAGGATCCACCAATCAGAGCTCTGCATATATTTGAACATAAAGTGAATGGTTAACAGACGTCAGTTCCAGTGAGGGGCTGTTTCAGCTGAACAGCTTCCATTATACGGTTCATGAGAATATAATCTGTGAGCATGCAGTTGTAAGTAGAGGACCTGTCGTAAAAATACTTCTTATTTAGAGGACATAAAAATCAATCAACTGATATTTTGTTCTGACCATGAGTGTAATCTTTCTGTTGCAATGTGGCCAACCAGGTGCTCAGCTCCTTGCACCCGTGTCTTGGACCTAATGTCAAAATCATCCATCTGCTTTTGCAGATCAAACCATTTCTGGTAAGTTGATGTGCAATGTTCAGTCTTTGATCACCAGATCTTTGACGTCCTGGCTGATGTCTCGAGACAGCAGTGGTGGCAGCATCCCGACACCCCGGGTTTGCAAGAACAGGCTTGCAAGCTTCCATTTTTTTTCCTCCACATGCAACAATGACCATCATAGTCAACACTTTAATTTTATTTAATCAGACGACGGAGCATGTCTCCAGACTGTCTCTGTTCCTACATGCAGTTACAAATTGAAATGTTGCTTTTTATGTTGCTGTTGGAGGAAATTCTTCCTGACTTTTCAGCCCATGTCGGTAACGAGATGTACATCTGAAGCTTTGAATTAAAATGAGCCACAGATGAGATCCAATCTAACTTCTAAGCTGAAAGTACCTTTCAGACCATCGTCACCTGGATTCTCCCACATTAATAAAACTTCTGAAATTAAGTAAAAAAAATATTCTGCCATCTAACAAAGACTTTGGTAATCCTGACTGATCTAAAACAGCAAACGGTCAGTCTGATTTAATGTTAGAAATAAACTGTGGCATGACCTTATACAGCAGGCTCCTCAAATCCAGTCAGAGGGTCGGTGCTATGACTGGAGCCGAGTCATAGCACCCGAGTCAAACAGTCAGCAGGACTCTGGAGAACTTGGCTGCATAGTGAGCTGGTCAATCAGCCATTTCTCTCAGGTATGTTGGACTAGAGACGCACCTAAAGGTTGTAGGGACTCGAGGCCTGAATTTGAGGAGCCCCTGCATTCAGGATATCCATGTTCCTAAACACAAAAACGTGGCTGCATGAAAACAGTTCCTCAAAGGATAAATTCAAAATTTCCTTTTCCATTTGCTCAAGTTCTCTCTGTGATGTTAAGATGTACGACAAAAGAAGAAAAACTGAAAGTGAGCAACAAATTTTTCAAACCTGCCTCCATGCTCCAGACCAAAACGCTTGCTTTTCCAGACGCCAAGGCATCGGCTACTTTTACTCTACTTTATAAATAAAAAAAATTGTGGTATATTGCGTCTTGCACGTCGAGTTTTCTGACCACACTTTTTGCAAACTAGTTCAAGCTCAATCAGAATGGATGGTGAACATCTTCATTAGTTTGTGTCATTGACTGAAATGGCAATGGAGTCTGGGGATACAAACATGCATTCGTTTTATCTCAGATAGTCAATATAAAATTTGACTTCTGATTGGAAAACTAATTTAAAATTATGACTGACAGTTTAATGAAAAAAAAACTTGTAATCCATTGGCACTGGAATGGGGGTGTTGTTCCAGATGTCAATGTGGTAAAAAATATTAAAGATGTGGTGTCAAGTTTCAAATAGATGCAAAAGCTAATCTGGAAATAGCTGGAATGCAAAGTCAGTCAGGTGAGTCAGTCAACAGACAGAATTTATAAGGTTCGACAAGAATTTAGTCTTTATAGGTCTCGATGTGGATGCTTTAAACTTTTATAATGGATTTAAAACCACCTTCCCCAGCAAAGGTTGTACAAACCCTTAGTTTTGCTCCATCAGAAACTTGGACAGAATACTCAAAACACTTCCAGTGCGCTGCACCCGTTTAGAAACCTGCCATCTTTGTTACCTTTCAGTCATAAAACACCTGATTCAGATGTTGAGTGTTCTGGGGAGACGCAGGCAGCTCTGACTTCTCACTGGCATATTGTTGTTCATGCATGGCCTGGCTCTGCTGGAGGTCTCGTAGTTAAAAGGGAGTCGTCTCTCTCCACTGTCATCACATGCTTGCTCGGAAGGAAGGATGAGGTTTAAAAGTCACCGACGCAACGCGATCAGGTCCTCAGATGGAATTGGGCATTCCGTAATTCGATCTAAACCCAACCAATCAAATCTGAACTGGATTCCTTAAATTGGATCCATTTGTAATGTGGCTTGAAATAACTTTGTTTCAAACTGAATTAAACTAAAGCTCAAGATTTGTGAAATGAAGCACAGACAGCGGGAAAAAACAACTGTTTTTTGCTTTTTTTTTTAAAAGATGCACTGCAAGTTTCTTTTGGTCTCGAAGATTTCAAATCTTTTTGGTGAAATAAATACAATCCAAGGTTCCGTCTGATTTGTTTTTTTCATGCTTCAGTCTGAGGGCTGCTTTTTATGTGGAGTGTCAAACCGTGAAGGTTAGTAACAACTCAAAGACAAACTGAATCAAAAAGAACACTACGACAAAAAGGAGTAAACGGTGCAGACGATCACACTTCACACTTCTATCTGGAAATAAAGCCAAGATGGCTGCGGCTCAATTCATCCCCATGCATTTCACACCTGCAAAACTATCTTGCAAATATGCACTTTATCTCAGTTTATTGTTCAGTCTAGCTAAAGTATTTTCGGAAATTATGGGAACAATCAATTGATTTTGAAATCTTTGACTCAAACCCTTATTGTTCTACTCTGGCTCTTATTTATCCCAGATTACTTTGAGTACACATTAAATATTATAAACTCTGATCTAACCAAACTAGGTGGATAATACAGAGTTATGAAACCATATTTCCCCGCAGTAAACTACTGAAGTGGTAGAATATTGAAAATGACTGGAAATGTTTGGCTTGGACCAAATGCTCCCCTGGCAGGTGTGAACCGATTCCTGAAACATCCCGTAGCAGGCGGCTCCATTCAGTATCTGAGAAAGTCAGGTGCAGAATTACCTAAAGACATAGAGGTATGAAAGGACGTAGAGATGAAATGACCAGCAGCCACCAGGATCTATGCTTTTCATACACAGGAATGCTAGTAGCAGTAAAACCATGCTATACCTACGTAATGTCTACTGAACTGCAGGTGCTTTGCTCTCATATTAACAAATGGTGTACTTAGTGTGTGTAGAAATGCAGGCAGATATTCAGTTTGCTCTTGTAATTTATTTACAAATATTAAAAACTACATACCATCTTCATTCTAAAGCAGAACAAAACATGTCCACCTTCACGCTTCTGCTCTAACTCATGCTTATATCCAAAAGGTTTATTTTACATATTTAAAAAAAACATCTAAAATCCTTAGACTACGGACAGAACAAAGCTGAGCGCTGCCGTTAAGTCAAACATATTGCACAGCCTGACTTCATTCATATTTTTTTATCTTCATAAATAGTGCAAATGGCATTTTTTTTTTTAAACAGGAATGTTCTAGAGCCTCAGTCAGATATAACAGTATGAACTTTGTACAGTGAACAAAATCAACACAAAGCAGGAAACAAATCCGACTTTGTCTAAGAAATAAAATAATAATTAACAAGAAAGAAAAAACAAGAATCAACACAAAATGTATACAGATTGCCACAGACAACAAAATAAATATTCTCCTCTACGGAGAACAGAATCCACCTGAAGATGACCAGGTGAGTTTTATTCTGTCAAAGAAACGGTAAACATGAGAAGTACAAAAGAAAAACAGAAGCAGGTTGTTAGAACTGAAAAAAAGAAAAAAAAAACTAAAACGTCCGGTTTTAGCTCCACATGGACCCCCGGGTCAGAGTCAGCTACATGTTCTACCCGGTCTACTCCTGTGGGATCAGTGTGTGTTTTAGCTCGCTTTCAGGCCACAACAAGTGGATTTCCCTTCAGCAGACTGGCAGTCAGTTAGATTGGAGGGGAGTCGGGTGGAGTGGGAGGAGGGCGGGAGGCGGTACCTTAGTGCTCTGTAGAGCAGTGACTCGGTGGGAATCCTTCTGTGTCCTGTCAGAGCAGGAAGCAGCAGGAGGGGTGAGGGATTAGGAGATGAGGGCACAGGCAGTGAGGAGTTAAGGAGCCCACTCAAGAAAAACAACACAAACACAAGCAGGCAGATGGAGCTTCCACACCGCTCATCCAGTCCAGTCGTCCGTCTGTCTGCTAAACAAGTGATGCTGGAGGGTTCGGGTGGGGGAGGTTTGGAGGGGTGAAGGGCAGGGGGAGGGAAGGGGGGGACTTACTTGATGTTGTTGGCATCTGCCACAGCGGCTGGGAAGGAGGAAGTGGAGAAAGAGTCTTTTATGGACTTTGCGGGCGGGCCCAGGACGTGTCCCGGCAACCAGCCCTCGGCCTCGGGTGACTGGCTGTCGGCCGGCCGAGAAACGAGGTACATGTTCTGCTGATTGATGCTCAGGACATGGACCACGTCTCCTCTGCTGACACTTATCTCGTTCTCTTTAAGTGCAGAGTAGTCCTGAGTGACCCGCATGGTGGAGAGGCCGTTACAGTCATCATGCTGAGGAAGAGAGGAGAGGAGAGGAGGGGAGGGAGAGGTTGGGGATCACAGCAGTGCAGAGAGTCAACATGTCTTCTCACATTCAAGCTCAACTAAAATGTGCATCTACCCACACGAACAAGCCAAATATCAACTGGAGGATAATACCATTCAGACTCAAGGTGAGGCTTTCATATTAGTAACCTGAGTGGAAACTAATAGGGCTCCTAATAAGTAAACAACAAACAAACTGTACCAACAGTCGAGCATGGTGGTGACAGCATCATGCTGTGTGATTGTGTGGTTCTGTGAAATACAAAGTAGATAAAGCAATGCAGATAGAGGACCGTCTCCAAATTGCCCGACTTCACTTGAAATTGACGGCAACTTGTACACTGGACAACTGTCTCAAACGGAAAAGCATCGTTTGGAACGGATAAAGCCGGCATTATCCTGCAGGATCGGATATTAATGGAAGTGGTGTGTATGTTTTAAGTCCACGTTCACACAGCAGGTCCAGATGCTCAATTCCAATTCATAACAACAGACGAATAGAAATCGTGAACCGTTTACGACCCCAAAGCGCTCTGCATGCACAGAAGAAAAACTTATACATCACACAGCAGCGTTCTGTTTATGGAAATAATAACAGACCCCACAGTCTATGGATTAATTAATTATTCAGCAATAAGAGCTGAATTGTAATAGAGAAGATAATGAAAAGAAAGTCCAACTAATAGAACATCTTGTGGCTTTTGGGCTGTAACTTCTGGAGAGAAGTCTGTTTGGAAGTGGTGATGTGACTTCTGTCATAATTAAAATTTTCAGCTGTCATTTACATCCAGATTTACTGTGTCTGATTTCTGGTGCGAGATCTTCAATGACGTGAAAGTCAGATTAAATGCGACATGAGGGAAAAGATCAGAATTGGCCATTCAGACTGCCGTGAAAAAGTTGGATGTAGATTCCATGAGGACTAAAAGTTAAATTTAAAAATTTGGACTAGGGTTGCATTTCCCTGCTGTGTGAATGAACCCCAAGAGGAACTGGATGTGTTTTAGGGACTTCTACTGCTCCCTCACCGAGAACACCACAGGGATTTTTTTTTTTTTTTTTTTACTTGGTTCAACTTAAGTTTTTCTTTTCTGCATCCGACTCCAGTGAGTCACAGCCAAGCTGTTGGAGAAGAAGCTAATAAAGTCAGAGCATAGTGTGCTAGATATTCCACTACCCACTGGACTGCAGCCTAGATATTAAGCTTGGCTTTTAGGTCAGCTGACGTACAAAGTGTGTGTTGTGTTTACTCAAGTTTCAGAATGAAAGGCGCACCAAAAAATACCTGAATAAAAGAGCAGGCTGCAAGAATGTGGGAACTCACACTGGATTCAAAGGAAGCGGAGCTGCCATTGGAGGTAGACACTTTTAAAGGGCTCTTCTCACCGAAGTCCAGCCGGCCGTCCAGAGCTGAGGACGGCCGGCTGTGGGAGGATGATGATGGCCGGTTTCCTGACGATGAGGGCCGTCTGATCAGAGAGGAGCCAGTGTCTTTGCTTTGACACTGCTGGTACACAATGGGAGACTGCAGAGCTGCAAACACACACAAAAGGTCAGAGTTGATGGTTTCTGTTGAGCTGCCACTGGATAACGTGGGACAGTGGAAAATGCCTCTTCCACATCGTTTAGTTGCTTTAACAGCCTGGTTCCCTTTGCATACAATATTGATGTAGCCTATGTACAGAGAGTGGGGTAATCGTTTTCTGGCCTTTCGTTATGATGCCATTTTCCCACAACGAGTTCATCTCTGAAGGGACAAATGGACGCAAAGCAGGCTTCTCTTCGTTTTGCCGTCCTCTTTACGAGGACAGCTGGCTCTTTAAGCACATTGTTGACGTTGTAGGTTCCATTTTCAGCCAGACTTTCTGGGGTGTGAGGGTTTGGCGCTCTGGATAATGTGTCAGATAGATGGATTGAAGTTTCATTTCATGTCACATTTATAATGAACAGTCAGTGGACCACCCAACCTGCTAGCACATGTCTGTTTCTGTTAGCGTAGCAGCTAATACATAACTTTAACTGAAACCAGATGTGATGAATACAGATGTTAACGTTGAGTCATGTGCCCTGATCATACGTGTGACACAACGGGAACCAATAACATCTCTGGCTAAGGATTAGTTAAAGGATTCATGTTTTGCATTGTGTTGGTGTGTGTGTGTGTGTGTGTGTGTCCGCACCTGACAGGAAGTCATTCTGAGCATCCAGGATGTTCTGGATGTGTTGGATCCAGACCTGCTTGGTGTCGACGTTGGCGGCCTGCAGAGTGAAGCGCTCCGATGAGCCGCGAGAGAACATGACGAACTTGCAGGCGTCGTTGTCGACAGTTTCCTCCAGACCCAGGTTGGTCACCTGTGGGGGAGATCCGGTAACAACAGTTATGCCGATCATTCAGCAGCCACTTTGTGTTTGAATGAATGAAAAAATTAATATCTATCCATCCATCCATCGCACGCGTTCAGTCATCTTGAAGTAAAACGCTGTGAACGTCTCCAAGTCTGGCATCAGTCAATGGAACATCTGCCGCACCGACATCATCTACCCACCTTAATGCACTTTTTGAACTGGTAGCCAGGTGTGGATGAGCCTTTCCTGAGCAGTTCACTGAAGATGACGATTTGCTCAAAGAGGAAGACTCTGCGTTCTTTGGATCGCGACAAGACTCCAGCATCTTGCTCTGTCACAAAGAAGGTTTCCTGCTGCAGCAGTTTGCCCTGATTGGCCAGATTTCCCTGCAGAGACAACCAGGGCGGCTTTAAGAGCTGAAGTTTCAGAAGGAGTCTAGTCGGTGGAATGTTGGCACGACAACACACCTCATATCCCTGAAGCCGGCCCAGATTCATCATGTCGTTGCAGAGCTTAGGAACCTCAGACATCAACTCCACAGCTTTCTGTCATGAGAGAGAAAACAGTCCTGCGATCTCAGGAAAAATACACAGACATTCCAGATACAGGCTGGACTCTACACACAAAGTATTCTCTCTCTGCATGATTGATTTGGATTACCTCAATTTGCTTACAGTCCATGCCAGCCTTAGAGCTGTATTTCAGGTAGTCCTAAGAAGAAACATTAGCGCCCAGTTAACAGTGACTCAAACAGGTCGCTTATCAAGCTACAGTGCCTAGAAAAAGCGTTCATACCAGCTTCAACGTATTTTAGGTTTTAGGACAACACAAAGAGTGCAGATAATGAAGAGGAAGAAAATGGGGTTTATTTTAGAAATGCAAGCATGACTGCAGAGTGTGTTGCAAGTACAGACAGTTTGTGTTTGTAACGTGTGTGTTACAAACACAAACACACACGTTTCGTGTTTGTAAAGGGTATGAATGCATTTCCATGCTCTTCACACTGCGTCTGCAGGATCCGGAACATTAAATAGAGAAAGCAACATTTGCCAGGTCACAAATGTGTTTGGTACCTTTAGCAGCAGCTGATATTTGGTAATTCTCTGGATGGGTTTAATGAGGAAATCACTGATGCTCAGTTTGGACTGAATGTCCTGCTGGATCCCCTGGAAAGCAGAACGACACCAACACAGAGATCTAGTGTTTGGTCAGATGCTTCTGACAATATATTAGTCACAGAAATGATCCTGGGACAAGAACAAGTTAAAAAATGAAAATGTTGACATGACTCACTAATAAAAGAACTGAAAATCATGAGGGAATCATGTATGTTAAGACAGACAGGTAATGATAATATAAAAATAAAAAAAAACTACGTACCTCAAAGAATTTGTCATACTCTGCAACGATGTACTCCGATTTGGGTTTATTCTGACAGTAAACCACATACATGTGCAGTCTTCTCTCCTGCAACACAAACATGAAGTCTTCACACAGTTCAACACATGAACGTTAGACATCCTTTCCTGTTTTTACTCACATGCTTGATGAAAAGTTCTGGGAGGAGCCCGTTGTCCTCAACACACTTCTCAAGCTCTCCGACAAAGAACCTGAGGCACACCAGAGGAACGTCAGCAGCAGATACAGACGACCCCTCAATGCTTCCAGCCCCATCTGGGAGACTTACTCTCTGTGCCAGTCATAGATGCGGTGGATGTTCCCAAATACTATTTTCTCTTTTCCCTGCATGTCCTCTGGAACGCCCTTCTCTTCTATCCGCTTCATGAATCCCTGCAGGGAGACAGCAAATGACGGTGACGCTGCATTCTGCTTCGCCTGACCGGCAGCCTGGTCTGGAATCCTTACCTCCACCACGATTCCCAGGTCTTTGACGTAGTCCTTCTCTGTCTGAATGAGCTCGTTCAGGACAAACCTGAACACACAAACCACAGCGTGGACACGTCAGTCACATAATTATCATCTGCAGCGACGCTACGGGTCACAGCAACGCAGAAGAAAGTCGGCCGAGAGTACTCACGTCCGGTGTCTCATAGCTTTGGCTTTCTGGTCCTGTTCGGAGTTCCGTGCCTGAACCGGTGTGTGTTGTTCAGGTGGAGATGGAGGGGTGAAGCCAGGGTACGGTTCCACCGTCTGAACAGGAAAACGAGCAACGTTATTCATGCATGGGGCTACAAAGTCAGCCTTCTGTAAGCTGAAGAACATTTCTAGGTTTAAAGAGACTAAAGTCCCAGCAAGATCTAGATGAAACTCGTCCAGATGTTTATGTTTAGTCGCACTGATTACAGCAACAGTGTCTTTTCACAGGTCTGTCTAAAAAAAAAAAAATCATTCAGATGTCTGCAGCTGGTCCAGAACGCTGCTGCATCCAGGCAGGGTGGTCAGGGGGCTGATGTTTCCGAACAGCAGGGGGCAGTGGCGGTGAAGGGATCTCTTCTGCAATCAGCTGGTAGGTCAACGCCGTCAGCTGATTGCTGAACAGAGAGCAGTGTTGCAGCCAACTTTAAACAAATGTCCTCCAGGAAAACAACCCACTGTGCCTCGATCAAACATAACATCCCACAGCATCTACTGCAGGCATGTTTTACTTATGACGCACAGAATTACATTGCATTCGAAATGTGCAGATTAAACTTTTCTAGCAACAAACAAACTACAGACAATAAAGTCAGAGTAACAATCATACAGTTATTTTGGTTGGAAACTTTTTTTTTCTTTATCTGAGGATGCATGACGTTCGGACAGAGCTCATGGTAATGCACAGCAGTCCACAGAAGGATCATGGTTGAATGAAGAACTCCAGCCTGCCACAAGACTGAAGTGAAACTACACTGACTAGGAGAATCACAGTGGAAGACGATATAAACAAACTTGGAGGAGTCGGCGGCTGATTCCAACCCAGCTAACAGACACCGAGTTTGCTCCTTTACCATTTCATACTTGGTTTTTATTTTTAAGAGTCGTACAAAGTTTTCATCATATACAATAGTATTAATTTACATTTAAGTTAAGGAACTATGGCGATTATCATACTTGTGACTAGAATTTATTGTCACCTTCGCATGTCTACAGAGAAGCTGTGTAAAGAAAGGTTGGTGGCTTTTTGGCTGGTTGTGAGATCAATAAGTTCCCTTCATTAGGACTCCGAAGGGCAATTCATTTACAAGTAGTGGTGACGGCCAACACATTCACACAAGATTTTACGTGACAAGAAGACTGAGCCAAGACAAACGTTACAAAATGAAAAGCTCGGGCTAAAAATTACTTGAACTTCAGTAATACGAAAGTGACCTTAAATCAGGGCATTAAATCTACATTTAAAAAAAACAAAAACAAAACCACTGTCTGTGGGGATACGAGTTTTAATCTGTTTGTTCTACAGCCATGTAGACCAGATCTCCTTCCTGAAGGGAGAAGATTGAAGTGAGACTGCAGAGGATGACTGGAATCCACCAAGACTTTTTGGGGGAGGGGGGCTTTTGACACTGATCTGGGCTTTAATGGGTCCATAAAGCTCCTCAACTCCCAGAGGTGAGGTGAGGTGAGCTTCATGACAGATTCTATCAGACCTTATGAGTCCAAGATTGCTCCTTGTTCTAAAACTAAATATGGTAAGATATTTCGTGGGCATTTGTTCTCCTGCTTTGGACTGAAGATAATTCTGTCCTCTAGCTGGTGACTCACCATCTTGGTTTTAACCAACTTCTCTATGGCGCTAACCAGCTCTGCAGCGCTGGGGACGTCAGAGGACGACTGCAGAGATGTTAGTAAGGATGAAGACTTTGTGAGGAAGACAGAAGGAGCAGCAGGTTAGATTGGAAGGAAAGGAGGAAAACCAAGAGAAGCCAGTTAAAGTTATATTCCATCACAACAATACTGAAAACAAGGAAGAAGAAGAGCAAAGCTGAAAAGAAAATCTATGTAAAAACTCATTTAAAATCTCCAGATGTGGATTTTTTATTTTAGATGCATCAAAAGATGTGATCACTTTTTAAGTCAATAATGGAAATGTAAGAAATGGAGTGTAAATGAAGATTCCAAATAAAATAATGTAAAATCTGTGAAAAATAAATTGAGGTTTAATATTTTACTGGACAAAATGTTGGTGTGAATTCAAAGCTGAGGTGAATAAACTCTCAGAGAAGCCAAAACCTCCTCCTGTACCTTTTCTTCAGAAGCGGAGGGGTCCTTCATGATCTCCATGGGTGGAGGAAGAGGAAGGTGGGGCTCATCGTCTGGCTCTGGCTCCTCCTCCCCACCACTCTGTATCCCAGGAGACTGCTTCGATGGAGGGTTCCCATCCTTGATGCTCCTCTGGTACAGGAGACATGGAACAGCTAATGAAGGATCTCCATCTTATTGATTAGTGAACAGCAGTAGATCATTACGGCTCGAGGGGGGAAGCTAATGTAGCTAATTAAACCATGTGAGAAATTTAGAAATCTAAAAAAATAAAAATAAAAATCTGTTAGATGGAAACTTGGAAACTGAAGCTCCAAGGAGGAGCTTCATCTCGAAGGCGGAGCTAGGTCCACCCAGGTGTTTGGCACAGCTGGGAGATTAAAGGATTTCTCAAATATGCATGAAAGAACCAAGGCAACACTCCAGGTATGTTTTGATGATTACAACACGATGCAAAGCTCAACAAAGTTGATTGTACATGGTACTGCCCCTTTATGTAGGTTTAAAAAAAGCAGCTGCTCATGAAAGCATCTTAAAACAATTTGACATGTCTAAGTTTTTGTTGGCTCCAGTGGCGTTTACGTGACAGCTGCTTGACAAGAAGGACAGAAAGGCTCAGTATTATTCCTTTTAGGAAAATTGCTTTTGGTCAAATAAGCTGCTACTCAGTGGAATCTCACTCTGATGATTATGAGAAATTTGAACAAATATAACACATTTAAGATGCACTTAGTGAAATGACTAAAAAAAAAAAGCTCTCAACACTTTATCCACCATCCCTTTAATAAATGAATAATAAAAATCTAATATCACAATGCCATGAAGAACATTTATTTTTTCAGCTTGTGTTCATTGACCTTGCCAAAGCTCTGCAGATGTCCGACATCTGGACAGTAGAGTGTGACATGTTGACTTTTATATATTCTTTAATGCACAGCGGCAAAGTAAAGCTGTGCATCCGACTCTGAATCATTGAACTCAATTATTGTTGCCCTAATGCTGTAATAAGTGAACCTCATCAGCATGCAGTAGCTCCAGTAAGTGAATGGATCTGTGCTGCAGACACAGATCTGCTGATGCCCCGTTTGTCGCTCAGCTTACAGGGAAATATGATGTGTCCACATCTTTGTTTGCATGTAAACCAGGAAGTTGAGATGTGATGACCCAGGTCAGATTTTAAAGCCAGAGGGGAGTGGTTGTGTTTACTGATGTCAGCTTTAATTGGAACCAGCGAGAACTGACGGTAAGTACCAGTTACAACTGGGTCTGGACACGGAGAAAAGATGCCAAGTCGTCTTTTGTGTGACTTGGGGAGCTGACACTGAACAGCTGACAGAAATTATTTAAAGTTTGTCCAGGGCTATTTTTTTTCCCCCCTCTCTCTGCGTTTTGGTTTTAACGCAAACTTTGATTATGTCAAACTTTTCTAGGGCTGACCTACAAAGAGGCTGATGATCAGCAACGAGTCGAAGCGCGACTACAGATGCCCAACTACATTTTTTCCATACATCAGTATCAAGGAAACGTACTGGAGGCCTGTAACTCTGTGTGCAAGTGTGTGTGTGTTTGTGTGCGTGTGTGTGACAAGCAAATATAATCTCTCCCTCACAAAAAGAGGAACTTTCTTCGTTTACTTTCCATGATGTAAATGTAAATTGAGTTATTATATAGCTTTACAACACAAACACGCATTTATCTTTACACTCTGGAGTCAGTCAAAACAAAAACAACTTTTGAAGAACAAAAGCAGGATAACAGGGATTATTATTTCATTTAGAGACTTTTGTTCATTTTAGTTTTTAACCTTCGTTTCTCCATAAAGTTAAAATGTTTACAGTAAATCTAATATTTTCTTTAACAGCAGATTCAAGCCTCAGGTCTCTCTGCTTACCTCTTCATTGTCCTCCTTTCCTGGCTGACTGCGCTCATTCGCCTTTCCACCACCATCTCTCCCAGGACCAAGTTCTGGAGAAACAGAAGGGCATGTTTTTCTACAGCGATAAAAGCAGCTAACACGTGCATCAACAGGCCAACATTTGTCTGGAAAAAATCCATGTTGTAGCATCAGAACGGAAACGTTTCAGCTTCGCCCCGTTTCCTTCTGTAGACAACTAAGGAGTCCCACCTGGCTTCTTCTGCTTAGTGCTGGGCGGTTTCTTGCCGGAGCTGATCCTGCGGCCTGAACTGGGCAGCCACTTCCACTTCTGGTTTCCAGAACGTTTGGGAACGTTTGGAGAACTGGACTGAATGGAGTTGAGGGACGGCTGCGGCTGCAGGTTCGCTACAGACTCGGTCTTCCTGTCAGAGCTGCTCACATGGTAGTTATCTGAAAACATACACAAAGAAAGAAAAGAAAAAGAAATCAGATTTTTCACATGGGGCAAGTGATGAAATTATAAAATGTTTTAGACATGGAGGAAAAAAAAAAGACAATTAAGCCACCATGTTTAATATTTTATATATTTGTTGATACTGTTTTCCAGCACTGCTTAGGTAATTGTCGTTCATATGTTGAGCTCGTCCAGCTGCATCTCTCTGCCTGACTTGATGCTGGACAGAGATGCAGTCAGGATCCAAAAGGGTTTGAACGTTTTAGACCAAGTCGCTGGATCTATGCTTTTGCCTCCATCTTCATTTCTGAGGCAGCAGGTTTATCATCACAGTTTCCAGTAAAACCAGTGCTGCCAGTAGCCACCAGCATTTGTGAGGGCAAAAAGAATTTTCTATAGGGGTTACAACCAACCATGGCCTTGAGAAAAATGCTCACCAGACCTGAACAAGCAGCAGGTATGTCAGAGGGAGGGGTCACTGAATGCACCGTTGCACAGCATCCTACTGCAGAACCTACATCACATCCCACTGTCCAGAGACTGACCGAAAACGTCCTACTGAGAGCCGGTTAAAGCCATACAAGCAAAGTTAAAAGGGACCATTAGTTGGCAAATTCTTCTCTTATGCAATATGAAGAAAAAAAAAAAAACATCTCCTACGCCTGCATGAACAATAGTCTACGGTCTAAAATCAGCAGCAGCGCAATGTCTCAAAGCTTGTTGAACCTGTCCAGTCACAAGTCAACTTACACTTTCACTTTTCATGGTTAAGGATGGAGACTTCTGGTTTGGAGTGAAGATGAAAGTAAAAAGACTTGCATTTCAGTTTGCTGTGCGCAACAAGAGCTGGGGCACAAGACAATCATTTCCAACATCTTCTACAATGAAAGGCCAAAGTTGGTCTAATATTAGTCTTTAACAGAAACTGATCACTCACCATAAGACACTTCAATGGCGCCACAGTGAGCTCAGAATCAGTCATTTGGTTATTCAATCAGTTGGATACAGACATTTGACTAAACCAATCATTTGATCCCTTACATTTTTGTAATAAATATTTTTAAAATGTACATATGAAAAATGTCTATATATTCCTGAATGTCGGATGTCATTCTGTGTAAAAGTATTCTTTTCTTATTTTTATTGCTTGTTGCTCTACAACAATGAAATGTACATAGTGGCATTGAAAGTTATTTACAGTTTTACACATTTCTTTTGTTTTGATCTCAAACAACAACAACAAAAAAAAATCCATGATAAACAAATTTAAAAACAAAAGTTTTCAAATGACGATTCCATTCATTAGCACAAACAGATCTCCTGACCAACTCTATTTCAAAAGATGTGACCACATATTGGAATAAATACATTTTTAATAATTTTCCCACAGCACCGCATGTGTATGTGGATAAAGAAATTGCAGCTTTATAAAAAAAAATGGGAACATCATGCTCTGTTTAACAGAGAGTGCTCATCTGTTACCATCAGATGAGCACTCTGATTTTAGTCAGCTGTCAGACACAAACATTTCCTGTTGCAAAAACTAAAAACCTACTTCAGTCATTCAGGTTTTGCCGTTTTTAGCAGCTGGTCTTCATGTCCGATGGAGATAAAATAACTCCCATGCTTCTGTTGCGGTGACTCATTACTGAGCTGTGACAGACTCACTTTTTCCCCCTCCCATTCTAATCGCGTCCACATGAGTCACATTAAACTAACTACTAAATGCGATTCCATTTTTCTGTGTGTGGAAAAGGTTTGAAAGTTTCAGTTCAGATGAACTTTGTGATTCCAGTCAGTAACTGGTGAGCCCATCTGACAGTGTGGCCGTCAGCAGCGGTCATGTGCGGTGGATCAGCTGCCCTCTCACACAGCTGCTAGCACAGCGCTGCAGCTGCTGCGATGTGTGCAGGAATAAAATGGTTCAGGCTCAGGTGGGAGTTCTGGACCATGAACCACGGAGCCTCCT